ATAGATATTTGTCAACAAGTTTACAGACGTATATAGGTAAACAATTTTAAATTGAGTATGACCACCAGGTATAAAGGTTGAAGCAGAATAGAATACAATAGTTTTGAAGGTTACTAATCCCTAAATAAAGTTGTCACTGTCGGAGTGATGGAAATTAACAGGTACTAATGAATTTGCAAGAAATGTAAGATGTTTATTTTATTGGTTATATTATATAAACTAAGTTGTGGCCGTAACAGGGGCCGATTTGTAAAAAAATGATTATTATTTTAATCAAATTTCATTTCAGATTCACTGCTTTCTTCAGAATCTAAGGAATCTTCAACTCTAATATTAATAATTACTGGTTCCAACATTGCATCAGTCATATTCTCCAAATTTCACATTTGATTTTCTTTCTTATGAGCATGACTAACAGCATTTTTCCAATTTTCTGGAGTTACTTTTGATAAGGAATGTTCTAATAATTGTGTAAGTCTTCTAATTTAAAAGTTTTGTTGTTGCATCCGACTTCACCCTTTACTTGAGACCATATATTTTCTATCGGATTCAGATCACAATCGTATGGGGGTAAACGTAAAATAATTACATCACGGTTTAATGCCATTTCATCAATTAAATATTTTTTATAAGCTGCTTTATGTTGCCTTAAAATAGATAATAATTTCTTTTTTGTCCAATTGTCCTTGTACTCAATTGCGTGTTTATCCAACCATTCGATTATCTCTCCTTTTTTCCATGCCGTTGTTGGCCATTTTTCTGCTAGTCTTGAATGGTAACTAGCATTATCCATGATAATCTTTGGTTGATTTTGAGGCAAAACTTAATAATCCACCATTGACAAAACCGTATTCGTTTCCAATATGGGTTATTATGAGTCTGCGTCCTTTTCCAATGGAAATATTGTTTATTCCAGTAGATACATCTTCGATGAATGCCTGACGGGAACTTTTCACATTTGTATCAATCCATAGATATGGTACAGTATGACCTTCATTTAGCCAAGTCTCGTCCAAATAAAAAATTGTCTTCCCTTCTTCTCGGTACTTTTTAATAGTTCTTAGATAATCTCGTCTCCTACATACAATGAATCTTTTTTAATTAAAACGGATTTTCTTCTATTCTTTTGCCAACGAAATCCCATCTCTCTCAATAGTCCCCATAATTTCTTGTTACCTATGATTGGTAACTCTTCGTTTTCTTTAATTAATGTTTGGATTTTGTCCAATGTTGGAAATTCTTTGTTAAAAAAAAAATGAGTGGACGCTGCGTCGTATCATGTTTTTATGTATTTCTTCAATTTCCAAGGGTTTACTCCCTCCACTCTTCTTGGATGATGAAACAGTTCCTCCTTTTCATTGTATTATGAATCTATAAATTGTTACCTTTCCAATCCCTGTCATATTTGAACACATGTTAACGATTTCACGAACATTACTTTAAGGGCGTTGATGTACAAGTGCATCGTGTACATTTTAATATTACATGTTTCTCTCTTAGACTGACGGCACCTTTAAAACTACACTTAACCGGGATAAAACCTGTTGTCGACGTCATTTTTAAATGCAAATAACAAAATATCGACATCAAAAACGTAGGTAGGTAAGACATGAACAATGTACATCTACAAACAAAATGGAAGATGCAAACAATTTCTAATTTAAATTATTGGCATAAGCTGTAATGTGGCATAAAAATTACTTAACCTATCATTAGTGAAGCCTTATCAGTAATTCCAGGTAATCGTTCAAAGAAGGTATTCTTTTGTGTCAGGCGATAACTTGTATAGAAAACAAAAACTACCTTTAAATTACTGTTTACATTAATTTATTTCGTAAAACATTGAATTATCTCGTTAATCACCCGTATATAATTAACAATAATCGTGTGACATATATACCGACGTTTTTTACGCACAAAAAAGGTATAGTGAGATTGGTGGACACTTATTTTACAAAAGATTTTTTAAAAGAATGAACTTTTAATGAATTGTTGACGGCATCTTAAAATATTAATTTTTTTTATTTATTTCAAAACAAGTATAGGGTGAAGCCTATGGTTTTTTGATACGTTGAGGATTTGCATACATAATGTGCTATCACTATGATGAAAAAGGACTTTAGTAAGTGTGATGTTTATCTTTGTTTAAGTAACAAACAAAAGTGTTTGTAACAAACGATATAATAATATCGTTTTCTGTCCTCTAGGCTATGCGAAATGTGTAAAAGATTAAATCTTCTAGCAAAAGCTGCTATGGCTTTGTTGAATTAAATGGCCAAATATATTTGGCCTATGAGGACAAGTTCGTTCTATATCAGCTCAAGTGTCTGATGGGGCTAGGATAGGCCGAAATGATTCATAACACATTATTAATACCGATTCGAGCACGGGAAGTTTAACGAATTTGTCCCTCTGGGCCATAGACATAATTATACAAAATTTAAAATACTTTGGGATACGGAGATTCCATATTTGGTATTTGCAATGTTGCCAGATTTTCAGTTCCTCTTATATTACTAGTAACTTTGGTTTTTCAAATGAATCACCCTGTATATTCAGTCATTATTGGAATCTCCTATTAAATACGAGTTCAACCATATGTAACACTTATGATTTTATGTAGTCTGGAAGGTCTTAAATACATAAAACAGAAGTCTGGCATCGCCTAAATTGTTTCAATACATTTTTTAATACTAACTCTTTTCAAATACATTAAAACGTAACAATTGATAGTTTAGAACATTTTTAACATAGTAGTTACGTTATTAAGTATTCAAAATGTGCTCCATTTGTGAGTTGACAGCACTCTAATCGATGGTAGAATGCGTCTACCACATTTCTCCATGATTGTCTAGAAATTATTCGAGATTCATCGATAATTCATTGCCTTAGCTATGCAAGACTTGCTGGTTATGTTTTGTAAACTGAATTTTTCAAGTATCTCTAATAAAAATAATCTTTAGGATTGAGATCGGGTGAACGTGGAGGCCATTCAATTCTACCTTGTCTACCAATTTATCGTCCGGGAAATATCTCATCTAAATAACGCCGAACATTTACACCAACTATCTGACGTTAAATTTCTTTCGACAAAAAATGGCCCAATTAAATAAGTACCTACTATAACTGACCATACATTTAATTTTTGTGGTCTTTAAGTATGGTTTTCACGCATTCAGTGTGAATTTCACACGAGTTTAGCTATTCAATACGAGTTCAACCAAATGTTCACTTGATACTATGTAGTCTGAAAGATCTTAAATACATAAAACAGTGCAAAATATGTAAATTTTAATAAATTTAAATATTTAAATGGAGAATGCTGTGATTTTGACATTTGATCACCATTTAAATTATGAACTAAACTTGACAGTAGTTGTGGTTCAAAAAGTTCTGCAATTTAAATTGCTTCTCTAAAATGCCGTTCTCTAAACCGTTCTCCTATTCATAAGACGACGGTACAAATAACTGTAAGGCGATTTGAGGAATCTGGAGAAGTAACAGATAGATACCGATCAGGTTGACCGAAACGAGTTATCAATGACAACAAAACTTTAGATATAAGCAAAGTTTTGTTGAAGATCCACATACATACCCAGGCAGGGTTGCACAAGTACATGATGTAGGTCATTCCTCAGTCTTACGTTTATTACGTAAAAATAAATTTAAATCATACAAAATTAACCTATTGCAAGAATTAAGTGAAGATGACTTTGGTCGTAGATTAGAGTTTACTGAGGTAATGATGGATAAAATTGAAAATTATTAAAATTTCGTGAACAGAATATGTTTTTCCGATGAAGCAACTTTTACACTGTGTGGAAGTGTAAATCGACATAATTTAAGGAACTGGTGTGACGTAAATTTAAACTGAAAAATGAATGCGTGAAAACCATACTCAAAGACCACAAAAATTAAATGTATGGTCAGATATAGTAGTTACTTATTCAATTGGGTCATTTTTTGTCGAAAGAAATTTAACGTCAGATAGTTGGTGTAAATGTTCGGCGATATTTAGATGAGATATTTCTTGGACGATAAATTGGTAGACAAGGTAGAATTGAATGGCCTCCACGTTTACCCGATTTCAATCCTAAAGATTATTTTTATTAGGGATACTTGAAAAATTCTGTTTACAAAACTTAACCAGCTAGTCTTGCAGAGCTAAGGCAACGAATTATCAATGAATCTTGAATAATTTCTAGACAATCATGGAGAAATAAGGTAGACGCCTTCTACCATCGATTAGGGTGCTGTCAACTCACAAATTGAGCACATTTTGAACACTTAATAACGTAACTACTATGTTAAAAATGTTCTAAACTATCAATTGTTACGTTTTAATGTATTTGAAAATAGTTAGTATTAAAAAATTTATTGAAACAATTTAGGCGTTGCCAGACTTCGGTTTTATGTATATATGACCTTCCAGATTACATAAAATCATAAGTGTTACATATGGTTGAACTCGTATTGAGTAGGAGATTTCAATAATGACTGAATATATAGGGTGATGTATTTGAAAAACCAAAGTTTCTAATAGTATAAGAAAAACGGCAAATCTGGCAACATTGTAAACATCAAATATGGAATTTCCGTATCCCAAAATAGGTGTACCTCAAATTTTGTACAATTATGATTAGCATTTTACGAGATAATTAGCCGTTTCCAGACTTTTGGGCCACTCTGTATATATATATATATATATATATATATATATATATATATATATATATATATATATATATATATATATATATATATATATATATATATATATATATATATATATAATATATTTTCAATTTCGTAACGTTTTTCTAGTACATATTTAGAAACACCGTCCACATTTACAAAATTACCGTTTGCTATCTTTCTGTATTGATAAAAAAGGAATGTTTGAAGGTCTCTAAAACGGAATTTTTAAAATATGTTCACAATTGTTGAAATTCTTCTCATGGTACAATTTCATATAAAACATTTAAATACAGTTCAACATTAATCGAACCTCAGCTAACTTGGTGAAAAAGTAGTTAGCTAACAAAAATGGAATATAGAACATTAATTTTTTGGCTTTGCTCTATTTATTTAATCGTTTCACCCACACTAGGTAAGAAATCTATGACTTATATAATAAAACTTCTAGAACAAAACTTGAATAATTTTTATGAAAGATAATAGTTATGGTATTATAATCATTTTAAATGCTACTAAACGTTAATCTATAAGAACTTATTATTAGAACTATTAGAACTTATTGTGTCTGGTTTTTATTTGCTATATTATTTTAAATAGATATTTTTGTATACATTTATATACATACAAGTAAAACGCTTTGCAAACCGTTTATAGAACAAAGCTGTGTGATGTGCTAACAAGATTTCTCTATCTGTATTTAATACTATTTACGTATTCCAGTTCTTTCTCTGACCAGTTTGGTTTAAGTATGTACTTCTTTGTTTAAATCTAGTTAATTCTTGTTTTACTTCCAGCTGACCTTCCTTTGTAATTAAACAAATTTCCAATTTACCAGAATTCTACGCTATGAAATTTACTTTTTTACTGTTGAACCAGGTTTTCCCATTTTGTTTAACTTCGAAACTTTGTAATGAATTTTTAAATGTACTTTATTTATATATTTTTTCACATTTTGGATTATTGTATTTTGTTGAAACCTGCATACTATAAACTTTAAAGTTTTAATATTTATTTGGTTTTTAATGTATTTCTAATAGGTAGTTCAGTTCTTTGTATACTTACTGTTATGTTACAATATCATATGTATCCATTAAATATTAGTTTTTTTACAATATTTGTTATATTTTTCCTTCTAAAACGGATACTCTTCTAACTTTCCTTCTAAAACGGATTTCCTTCCATACCATATGTTGAACTTTCATATTAATACTCACAAGCACCCTACAGTTTTATTAATTTTTTCAAAATCTTACCACTTTATTTCTTTTTTGTGTGGGATTCTTTCGTGTGTACTATTTCTATATTATAGATATGATAAAAGCCTATATACGCTTATGCTGGAGCTTTACTTTTTTGTCTTAATTGGAATTAATTTTAATATTTATTGATATTTGGGTTTTCATATAAAACAAGCTCTTTATCTCAAATTAATTACTATTTGTATTTCGAGAACGATTTCCGAAGTGGAAATTGAAACAATAAACGTACTTTAACCTTTAATTGTGGCTTATTCCCAGTTAAATAGTAATTAATTTAAAATGCCACAAGAAAATAGCTTCAGAGCAATATTCTTTATCTCACATACACATACATAACATTTTTACTTCACACACTGTTTTTTACTTAAAATATATTTCTGGATATGGAATCAACGCATTCTTCAGCAACGTATCCTCAGTAAATATCTTTTAAAATTTATCTTTATCAGTATGCTTGATATATTCTTATTTTTGTTCTACAAGCGTTTCTTGATGTTCAATTACAACTGATTAGATTGGATCAGATTTTGGCTTGATCAAATAAGAAACGAAATAGTTTACGCCGAATAAAAAAGAGCACAGAAATAACAAAAATATTAAAAATTCGAAAGTTAAAATATTTCGGTCATGTAATGAGACACCCAGAGAGGTATAACCTTCTACATCTCATAATACACGACAAGATTGCCGGAAGAAAAGGTGCAGGCTGGAGAAGAACATCCTTGCTCCGAAATCTACTAGAGTGGTATCAAGAGACATCTGCTAATCTGTTTCGAACTGCCATAAAGAAAACGTGAATAATCAGACAGGGTACTGAAAAAAGAAGAAGTGATACATTTTAAAACTTATTTAAAGATATGGTCTGAGTAGATTTTAAAAAGCAGGTTTGATAGAAGAGATCCTTTTAAATTAAAGCTGTATCTGTTAAATCATCTTCTATTTTTACACACATTTTGTAATTTGAGATTGATTAAGAGTCTTAAACTAATACAATTTTTTAAATGTTTTTTCCTATATATCATATTACATTATTTTTAATAAAATAATCATAAATAAATAATATTTGTTGTAGCTGATAAAGTTTGTCGGGTAGTATGTAAAACTACAGAAGGGACAACACCAAAAGGTTCTCTAACCAGTTTAACGACACAAAATAGTAATAGTGAAACCACAACAGCGTCACCTGGAGATTCAACAACTCCTGGAGGAGGTTCTACACCTGAAAATAACGAATCTACAACATCTGAGAATAGTTCTCCTATTGAAAGCACAGTACCCGAAACTTCTCCGGTAACCTCTGCCGAAAGTAGTCCAACGACAACTGAAGAAAATGTTTCAACAACATCTGAAAATAATAATGAATCTACAACCCATGAAGTTGAGAATACCTCTACAACTACTGAGGAGGCACATGATAGTACAAGCACTGAAAATTTAACTGATTCGACAACTGGTGTACCTGAAAGTCCCACAACTTCCGAAAGTAATGGTTCAACACCATCGGTTGATAATACTAGTTCCACCCAATCAGAAACAACTCCAGAGATTACTTCTACCACAGAAAATTCAACTCCAGGTATAAGGTTATGAAAGTATAATCTCAATATTTATTTTAACCTAAATATAAATAATATTTTTTAACATATTTTATTTAATAATTTTTTTTACGTTTTGTGTATTCTGCTTAGGTACTTACTCTGCCTGTCCATGTCATTGTATCGGAAGCAATGGTCAAGTTTATACAGGAGGTCAAAAAGAAGGTAAATTTATTATATTTTTTTATAAACGGGAGTTAAAATGTTCTTTTTAAATTATATATATTTCAAGAATCAATCTAAAAAATTCATATTTTCTTAAAAATATTATGTTTAGCTTTTGTTTGGTTTATTTATTATTTTTTTGTTGTTGTTATAGATCCATTTTAATGACCAACTAAAAATGCGAACTTTGTACTGTCTTATTAGAATTAAATAATGTTTCTAAAAAATACAGGAGAAATACAGAAAATATACAGAAAAATACATAAAAAGAACAGAAAATAAAGCAAAAAAATATCATCGAATCATCGGTATACGCTGTATTTTTAGCCGTTATGGTGGCCTCATATTATTTATTATCCTTTTCCCAGTCAGTCTCGTTTCATTGCACAGTCCAGGTTAATTAATATTACGCAGCATAATGACAACTTATCCTCCTTTTAATTGTAAATTATTAGGGGGAGTCCATAGGAGCCTACGTCATCCTAATTTAAAGCTGTGTCAAGTGATTTAAACGAAAACAACTTTCCTGGAAGAAAATTCAGAGTATTCCAACATGTAAGATTTCATAAAAATCGGTGACGCTCTTTCGAAGGAGTACGGTAACTAATTCTGTGATACTAATATGACTATTAAAACAGAAATTAGTGATAAAAGAATGAACATTAAGGATTGTATTTATTTTTTAATGCCACATCACAGGAAAAGAAAAATAAAAAATGTTTTCAAAAAAATAAAAAAAAATGTATGGGATGGCTCACCCTTACCCAAAAGAGATATGAAAAATAGATTACGGCCGATTCTGAAACCTAGAGAATATACATAAGTATAATATTGTATAAAAATTGGTGGCAAAAAAACAAACTCTGTGCCACTAAAATGACAATTTAATAATAGGAGATAGTAATGGAAGGATGAAAATTAAGGACTATATTATGTATTCCTTAATGTCACATCACAAAAAATAAAAATAAAAAGTTTTGTACAAAAAATAAAAAAAATATTTATATAAATATAAAAAAAAATATTGAATGATTGGGCTTAATAATATAAGCGTAAAAGCTAAAGAATTATATTTATTTTTAATGTCACATCATAAAAAATAAAAAAAGTTGTCCAAAAAATAAAAAAAAATGTTCAAGGTAAGGGTGGTTTATAGATATACAAAGGTAACAAAGATATACGTTTACAATTGTATTTATTATATCAATTGTCTCTTTATTACTCTACAGATGTATTATATCTTTAACTATTCTCTGTGAAATGCCTTCTTCAAGTCGATCAACCATAGGAATGAGAGTCTATTGTATTCTAATTCTTTTTCTGTAATCTGTAATCTAAACGTATAACTTAATGTAATATTTATATTACATTAATAAATGTAATATTCTTTTATTTAACAATATTTTAATAAAATGGTTCTGAAACTGTTTTTACACCCTGTATATTGGAAATTAAATACAATTGTACAATCTTAATTTATTTATTTGTCGTAGCGGCTTTCGATCTGGAATTTGTAGGTGTAAAATTCAAGTATTAAATTATATTTTCAAAACAAAATAAATAAATAAATAAATATATATATATATATATATATATATATATATATATATATATATATATATATATATATATATATATGGTATAATAATGGTTCATTGTTATATTTATTGAAAATTATATTTTTAAACAATTTTTTCAGATTAAAAAATTTTACTATCACATTTTAATAAACTGATCTTTGTTTAAGCTGCTCGACTGCACAAGAACAAATATATTGCTGACAGTAACAGACATCATGGTGGTAAGTGTATTAAATGAATTATGTAAAATATACTTAAATAAATCAAAAACTAGTCCGAATCCGAATATATACTTTGGTCTATCTATCTATATAAGGATTTTTACAACTGTCGCTGCTTTCCTTCTTTCAGCCAACGTCTCCAGTCCTTTCTGTTCTGCTATTCTCCATCTCGAAGGTCTCGTCTTTCCATGGCCTCGTCTACTTCATCCCTCCATGATCTTCGGGGTCTACCTCTTTTCCTCCTTCCTCCAATTCGAAATCTTTGCTATCCACCTTGTATGATCTGTTCTTCTCACATGTCCATACCAAATTAAACGTTTATCTTCGATGTAGCTGAGTATGTCTTGTTATACTGCCATTCATCGTTTTATCTCCTCATTTCTTATGCGATCTATTTTTGCCACTCTGCAGCTTCTTCTCATGAACTTCATTTCAGTTGCTGTGATTTTGGACCTGTTTCTGTCTATCCCACAGTACCCCGTTCATTTGTTTAATACATGTTTTTGTCTGGGCTAATCTGCTGGTTATCTGTTGCTCGGTGGTTCCATTTTGAGAGTATGAATCATAAATATTTGAATTTTTCAGTGCCGTTAATTTCCCTATTATCGTCCATTTCCAAGTTTCTCACTGGTTCTTGCTCTATTGTTAAATATTCGGTCTTTTCTAGGTTTATTTTCAGTCCATTTTTTGTGTATTCCTTTTCTAATTTTCGGAGCATATAGCACAGATCTTCTTCATCTTGAGCCGTTATCACTTGGTCATTTCCAAAGCTTAATGTGTACAAGAAGTTGTCCCGAATTGGTGTTCCCATCCCATCACATTTCCTTTTCCATGGTTTTAATATTTGTTCGAGGAATACCTTGAACAGTGTCGGAGATGTAGAGCATCCTTGTAATAAGCCTTTTGTGGTCTTAAAATCGTTGGAATATTTATTGCCGGTTTTAACTCTTACCTTGTTATTATTGTAAAGGTTTTTACGGCTTCTATTAACCTCTGAGTCATTCCGATTTCCTTCATCGTGTTCCATAGTTGTTTTCTGGGAACCGTGTCATATGCCTTTTTTAAATCTATAAATGCCATGTGTACTGGTCTATTTTTTGCCATTTTTTTTTTCAATTAATTGTTATATATTGTTGAGTTATATATGTATGAGAGAATGATACCAGAAGAAAAAAGGTTATGTACATTGTTTATTTGCTGTTTTAAAATTTTAATATTTTTTAGTAAATTGTTTTTTATAATAGGTAAAGAAATAATAAATAAGACTTACTTACAATCAATTTAATTTAACTATCAGACGACCGGTTTCGCTTTCTACAATATGCAAAGCATCTTCAGGTCTCGATACAAAGTTAAATAAATGCTGAAATGATAAAAACCCATATTGAGGTGTTGTCTAATAAAGATAAACAAATTAGATGTTGTAAATTACAATAATTATGCCAATATTACATGTCGGTGGTTTTAATTTTAAAATGAGTAAGTTGAATAAAAAGGTATAAAAAGTTTTAAAAGTTTAAACAGACAAGGTAAGACCCACAAATTGTTATATAATAGTCTATTAGATTGTAATAAATTAATAAATGAGCAAATAAATAAACATTACTTACATGCCGGTACTCTATGTTTACTAAACAAACAAACTAAGTAAATTTACTGGTAAATTGGAAAATATCAAAAATAACCTCAAAATACAAGCCCAATGTTGTAAGCGTTCTGCAAGTTGCATTTTTAAAGAGCCTAAGAACTCCGGTGAAGTGTTTGGTTACCCATGTGATTTTTGCAAGAGAGTGATGTGCAGGAGCTGTGCTGGAATTAATTCAACGGAGATGTTTATTGTTAGCTACCAGAATCTTAATGCCTTACTTGCGTAAGGATTGTGTACCTGGGATTATGAACGCCCTAAACCTAAACAATCGTGTCAATGCGCTTGAAACCACTTTAAGTGAAGTGAAAACTGCAAGCACCTAGAATATTATTGAATTAGAGGAGGAAATTGGTAAGATAAGCGTGGAGATGAAAAGTTTAAAAACAAGTTTTGAAACAATCTATGATGATCAGTAAGTAATTCTGGAAATGATAACATTCAAAATTGTGCAGATGTCAAAGGTACCGATGCAGTTTTTGGGGAGATACAGGACTGGATCCGGAGAGCAAAAAATATTATTATATATAATGTACCTGAAAACCATTCCAGTGAATCTAACATTCGTGCTGAACACGATAGAAATAAGGTCTTAGGAATTCTCAATAAAATAGGTGTAACGAACAGCACCTTTAAAGCTTTTCGTCTTGATCGACTAACAGATAAACCAAGACCTCTTAAAGTCGCATTTAATGATTCAACAACAGTTATCTCATATTTAAAACAACGTAGATCTTTAATGGGTTCTAATTTGCGCATTGGAGCTGATCTTACCCTTTTACAGCGTGAGAAAGTAAAGGCCTTATATCAGGAGTTAGAACTCAGAAAAACACAGGGTGAGAATGATTTTGAAGATCAAGTACTATAATGGGGTACCCAAAATCGTTGTCAGTAAATGCAATAATTCAAAAAACGATCCTTGAGCTTATATTTCCAGAATGTTGGCGGTATGTGCACTAAACTTCAGAATTTCAGACATGCTGTGAGTCTCTCTAATTATGATGTTATTATCATTATTGAAACATGGCTTACACCTAGAATCTTAGATGCTGAATTGAAATTGAGTGACTTTAATGTGTATAGACATGACAGGGACCCTCAAACTAGTTCAAAGACTCGTGGTGGTGGTGTTCTTATTGCTGTCCATAAACGCCCTAATTCAATGTTGGTTAGGCCTATAGATTCCTCTGTGGAGCATGTTTTTACACAGGTAATGTGTGGCACAAAAAAGTTAGTCATTGGTGCAGTGTACTTTCCTCTACGGTCATCTGGGTCCGTATATGAGGAGCATTCCACCTGTATGTTAGACTTAGTGGAAAGATTCAGTGATTGTGAATTCTGTATTTGTGGTGACTACAACCTACCTGAAGCAACATGGGATAATCTTAGTAAGGGTGTTACGGTTGAGTGTTCTCATCACTCTCCAGCAAATATTATTTGTATTTGCTACAATTTTCAAAATATGTCACAAGTAAATGTCTTGCCTAACCTTAATAATAAATTTTTAGATCTAGTTTTTTGTACTCAGAGAGATGCAGTTGTGTCGATTTCAACTGATATGCTATTGAATATTTTGCAACATCATTCAGCTTATACTATAGTGTTACATGAAGCCAATTTAAATTTGTTTCTTAAATATGATGTCTTCTATCATGATTTAAAAAAATGTAATTATCAAGTTTTAAATGAATATTTTGCCTCAATTCCTTGGAACAATGTATTAGATGAATCAGATATAAATTGCTGCTTAAAAAATGTTTACCATATTCTATATGATGCCATCGATATGTTTATTCCTATCAAACGGTTTAAATCATTCAACTTTCCAGTATGGTTTTCGCGAGAAATAATTGAGCTTCTCATACAGAAAAAATAGCTCACAAGAATTTTAAAGCATATGAGGAATTTTCGGTGTTAAGGGAAAGATGTAAAGCATTACAAGTAGTATGTTATAAGAACTATTTAGAAAATATTCAAGCAAATCTTTCAAGTAATCCCCACTCTTTTTGGAGGTATGTTAGTACTACACGTGGGTCTAGTGCTTATCCTAATGTAATGTCTAATAAAGATGGGGATGTAATAGCTCAGAATGGTGATGAAATAGTCAATCTATTTGCCAGCTATTTTTCAGATACATATAATGATAGTGAGTGTAATGTACCTAATTTTAAATTGGACTATAATGTGGATTTACAGAGTCTGAAGTTTAGTCTGACTGATGTTTTCGAGGGGATTAGCAGTTTAAAAACTACATATTCTTCAGGGCCTGATGGTATACCTGCAGCACTTATTAAGAACTGTGTTTTTCCCTTTGTAAACCTTTACAACAAATTTTCAACTTATCATTGTCATCATCTGTGTTTCCACAATATTGGAAAAATAGTATTCTTACACCTATCTATAAATCTGGCAATCGCGAGTGTGTTAACAATTATAGAGGTATAACTATTCAATCAGCAATCCCGAAACTTCTTGTTAAATTGGTATCGATAAATCTCACCTGGGCTTGCAGAAACATAATTATTGATGAACAACATGGTTTTTCTAACGGGAAATCAACTGTAACAAACCTTGTCAATTACCAACAATACTCGTTGGGTGCATTTGAGAATAAAATTCAGGTTGACAGCGTTTACACTGATTTCTCAAAGGCCTTTGACCAGGTTAATCATAATCTTTTGGTCCACAATCTTCATGCATCTGGCTTTGGTGACCCCATTGTTAATTGGATTAAAAGTTTTCTGATGATACGTACACAGCAAGTTCGTATTAACAATTATATTTCAAAAAAATTTCATTGTTATTCTGGTGTACCACAAGGGTCTCATTGTAGTCCCTTGTTTTTTAACTTGTTCATTAACGATATTGGTAAGGTCATCAAAAACTCACACTTGCTGCTATTTGCTGACGATCTTAAGATATTTCGTTGTATACCTACATAATAAATTGTATAGAGATCTCTTGCAAGATAGTGTAAACAACATATGTTTATGGTCAAAACAAAATGGTTTAAGCTTAAATCCAACTAAATATTTCATTTGGTTTATTTCATTTGGTCATATAAATAATCTAATAGCTAATAGATATATTCTTAATAATGTATTCTTGGATTCAATTACTGAGATTAGAGATTTGGGTGGATTATTGGATTGTGCATTGACATTTAGAAGCCATTTTCTTAAAATTAAGGAAACAGGATTTCATAATCTTGGTTTTATTTATCGTAACAGTCATGATCTCTCCCCTATTGTATTTAAATTATTGTATTGCTCTCTGGTACGCTCAGGTCTTGAATACTGCTCTGTTGTCTGGTCCCCGTTTCATCAACTATACATTGATGGATAGGAGAGCGTTC